CGTATACCCCCAATATGTGGCCTGCAAGATCACTGTTTCTTCTCCCGTGTCTTGACGTTGAACCTATCTAAGCTATCAGTTCTAGAAGGTGGTGGAGGTAACTAAAAAAAATAAAAATTGTATTTGATGGATTGACTTTTGAAACACCATGAAGAAATATCGCAATTAGACACATAAATCACCATCCTGGATCCAACCCTAATTGCATGAAAATTATGCACCAATAAGCATGGATGTATAAGGAGGACCGCAGATTTTGATGGAACTAGGTCAACAACAAAACCTCCACCATTTCCCACTAACAGTCATAAATCATACACAAAGTAAACTGGACAGCCTTTTATTTACTTGTGATTTTTTGTCCTGATCACACAGTATACCGGTTCCAGGTCTACTGTTCAACTTTCGAAGAAAGCCCTTCAAAGGCTTCTTTCTTGTTCTAACGCCTTCTGGGAACGTTATTAATGTTGAGTGTTGAAACAAAGACAAGAGAGTGGTCTCCAACAAAACAACAACAATGAAAATTATAAGAAAATGCAATATATTTTGTACTTTTAATGATGATGTTTTTTCTTTGGAAACTAATTAAATAGGTTGTAATATAATAGGATTAGATGCCATTCAAAGGTTTGAACTTTGAATCATTGGACTTGGTTGACCGCGTCACCAGTACCTTTATAGACAGTTCAATCATCAATGGGCAGGAAAGGTCAAAAGAAAGTTGTACAGTGAATTAAGAAAATTGGTGTCATGATGCAGTAAGATAATAATAATAAAAAAAAAAAAACATTAATTGATTTACGGGATTTTTTTTGTAAGCAGACAAATATAGTATTTGCCCCCATGCGTGTCCTCGATTTTCTTTTTTTAAATTGTAGGTCTTAATGTGTTATATATTTTCCTCATCATCTTCTTCCTTATCCAAGACACTGTTTAAAACCCGACATTATCTTACGGGCTAATTAGTGATTAGGGTGATCTAAGATTTATAAGATAATTGATTTTATATAACCTAGTGAAAAATTCAATCTATGGCCCAATTAATCTAGAAAAAATCCTTTTATAACTTATTATTTTTTTAAAATAATATCATTTTAATTTTATTTTATAAAATAAAAAATTAATTTGAATCGGATTAATTTCTATCTAATCCTAACTCTGAGCTTGTTTCATATTTAAATCAAGTTTAAAAACCATGCATGAACCAAGATTGCTGAACCCTTGCCCAAGGAAACTGAATTCGATATTATTTAGTAAAACTACTTTCTCTTTTCTGGATTTAATCTTAAATGGAATGATAATAAAATTAGTGCCATCTAAACTAATCCTTAGATAGTAAGTTTGACCTGCAGAAATGGTCAGGCTCATAGATACCACATGGTCCAGTCGGAAAACAAATATACAATTTGCACTATATAAACGACTGTAACTTTTTGTGGTTTCTCTCAACCAGCATTTGGAGGACCATCTTCAATTAGTGGTGGGTGGTGGTCCAGCCGTCCATGGCCAGCCACTTCATTCTCTTTTCTCACCATCTTGTTGAGTTGAGTCTGCATATAGGAGTTGCATGTATCTTTCAACCATTAAATTAAACAACATCTGGTTCACACACCTCCCTCTTCTCCTTGATTTTTTCCTTCTCTTCATGGGTTTTTCACGAGTTTTTTGAAAAGTATTTTTCAATTTAAAATGTATTTAAATGATACTTTTTATAATTTTTTATTTATTTTTAATATTAACACACCAAAACTATTGAAAAACACCTAAAATTTAAATATATCAATTTGATGTTTTTTAAACAAAAAAATAATTTGGAAAACACAACTTTAAGAAGCAGTAATACTTACGTCATTGATTGGAAATATTATTGACGTATTTAAGAAGCACATCAACTAATTGTGAAAATCTTATCGTGGAAAAAGAGCATATCGTAGTAGTAACTAATTGCTTAACTTGCAAATCAATTTCTCTATTTTTCTTTACCTTTTCCTATCAATCCGGCGATGGCTGAGATGACTCAAGTCTCTATTGACATTAAGATGATTGGCTACTTATCTTTGTCTCTCGACATTAATAGAATCCATTAAAAAAATTCTTGGCTTTTTCAACTCTAAACTAATATCATAATTCCCTCTTTCTTTGTTTTGTAGTCTAAGCAATATTAAGCAGAAACATCCCAAATAGTCACCCCAAGAAAAAGCAACTATGGTGTCAACAGAAGACTTCAGCTTCCCAAGGATCACCAACCCTCTTCCTCACTTTGCAATCTCTCCATCATTATGGCGTGTTTCTTCACTAGTTTATCCAGATTATCGCTACGAAGACGATGAAAGAGAGTTGCCGTTTTTCAAGCAAAGTTTCTCCTTTACAACATGTCAGGAATTGAAGATGGAGAGTATTGAGGAGAAGATGGATAGGTTGTGGGAGAAATTCAATGACGAGGAACTTCATAGGGCTTCTTCTGATTCCTTGGGAGGAAATAAAGGTTATTCGGTTGATAGTTTGGATTCTGAATGTGCTAGAGGAGAGTTGAAGCACCTTTGTCGTGTCAAGAAAGAGTTGAAGATTTCCAAATCAGACACAAATATCATGATAGGTGCTTCTACTCAGTCTAAGAGACAACAGATTGTTATGGTGTTTAAGGTTTTGAAGAAGATTTTCTTGCATCCAATCTCATCAAAAGGTTTGAAGGTAGATAGAATATAGAGTATTTCTTGCAAACCCGACAATGATATTTCTAGAGGGTGTAAAATTTTTGGGTACTCTAGAAATAATATATATTGTTTTATATGTAGGCATATACACAACAAAGTGATTCAAGTATTTCTTGTTTTCGAGCCTTTGAGAGCTATATGATTCTTGTTAATCTCCACACTTAAAAGGACTATGCTTCCTTTTTATGGATTAAATTAATTAGGCAACATCGGTAATTCAAATTTGAGACTAATTTCATGATCATCCTTACAACAATCAATATATAGTTAGGTAAAGTTTATTTGTTGTGATTGTTCAAGTAACAGAGGATTGTATACCCAAGATAAAGTCGTAAATCACTAGTAATCATTTGGGAATTTCGCTGTGCGGCTTAGACCATGACCATCATGACTCTTTGCGATGAATATGGCACTTAAATGTTTGATAATACTTTAAAATTAATCTAATATCACGATCCTTCTGCATCTTATTATCAGAAGGTATAATTTATAGTTTTTCAAAGATTACAATCATAACTAAATCCCATACAAAGACCTATTTGACGAGAAAAAAAGAGTTAAAGTAGCACGTATATATATATACACGCACTTGACTAAGATTTTCAAGGATTGCGATTCCTTTATCTTCAACCTTTTTTCAGCAAGCTGTGACTCTCAATCATGGATGGTTAATTCTTTTTTTTTTTTTAATTTTTCTTGCAATGCCATCAAAGACCGTGATGGTTCATGGAAATGAAACTTGGATTTGAATTTGATAAATTAGTTTGAAGATTTTCAAAGATCTTGGGAGCCAGGATATGCCTCAGACCCACTGAATTGAATGCATCGCCAACTTTTGGTGAGCATTATAAATGTATATAATGATGAACGTATGAGAGTCAATCGTGTTGCTAGTTTGAAAATAGATATAGAGATGGGTGGGGTATATTCATCGTTCTTGATAATAACCTAGATGTAAGAATTTCTCGAAATTAAAACATCAAATATGTATATCTTTCATGCTTGCTGATGAAATTGTATACTTCTTTTCAATCACGCTTCCATTTGATCTTATTTTGTAACCGGATTTTGTATTCCTTTCTTTTTAATATTTTTTTAATTTATTTTTGGAGTTTTTTTAAATCAAATTATAAAAATTAAATGCTATAAAATTAATGGGTCAAAACTAAAGTTGTTGAGAGATATAGATTTTGAAATGTATTGAGGGGCTTTTTTTTTAATAAAAAAAGTCCTATTTTTCTATGAAACATGTATATATATGTACTTTTTTTAGAGGAACATATGTTTGTCCTCATTTCCATTATAAACAGATGCTTGTCCTAATTATCTCTATTTTTTTTATAGATCATTAACTTGCATAAACTTTAAGGATTGTGAATTTTGGGATGTCTTTACTTAGTTTAGGTACGTACATGCTTATAAAATGCAGGAAAAGATACATGTATTTACCATCTTAAATTAGTTTTTTCCCCAAAAATAAAGCTTTCTTTCCTAATTAAACTTCCCCATCTAATTACCTACCTGTCTCTTTTTTTTTATTATGATTTTCAAAAATTGAAAAATAAAAGGAAAAGTATAATGAATTGAGAAAACTACTAAGTTATATATTTTTTTAAGAAAAATATATTACATATAAAGTTTAAAATGACATTTTGTTAAAGTTTATTTATTTTTAATGATTTATATATTTTTAATTAAAAAAACACTTTTAAAAAACATGGGACAAATACAAAAGCTGTACCTCTAAACACAACTAAGGAATCATGTAGGCAGCTCAGACGTTTGCAATCACTCCAAATCAATGGATAACATCTAACTGGATCGCTTGAATTTCTTTCCAAAATGTTGATATGGCTTTGTTGGGATGAATGTCCCTTGATTTTTATACTTAAACGTCAGATTTTCTTGTGAAGAACCTAGTTGTTCTTGACATGCAGTACAGCAAGGTCAAAGAACTCCGTATTGAGACCAAGGTATGTGGCTTGACTCACCTGACATTTGATAGGGCCGCCACTTGGATCCATACCCTAACCTGTCCATTGAAACCCAGCAACATCAAGATGGAATGGTGCCGATGAGCATGCACCTCGACTGGGAGTAAGATCCACCCAAGATGCAGCTCGATGCGCCAGTGTTGCCACACCCTTCTCCCTCCGCACCATGCAACATTTGTTGCCAATCTGTCAAGCAGAAGCATCTAAAACATAATGAACAAGTGCCATTGTTCCGAGAAACGAATCAAATGGATCAGACATCATATATGCAGTACATTATAGATAGAAGCACAGCTAGAAAAAAGTTGAGAAGTGCAGAATTACAAGTCTAGTCTGATCTGCTTTAAATTGTGGAGACCCCTGCTATCTACTTTCAAAATGGCTACTACAAAATCAGTAGGAGTGATCAAGCCCGCCCACTTCATGAACAGCAAATTCATCGATTCTCTTACAACAGGAGGTTGAATATATGAACAAATTCAATTCATGGAATTTGAGGATGGGAAATATTATTACAATTCAAAGCTAAATGCAAAATCCTACATATTTAGAACGTAAAATATGCAGCTGTAAAATATCGGTTATCAGAAATCTTTCCCAAATTTTACCTACAAAAGATAACTACAACAAGGTTTTGAACAAACACCGAGACAATCCATTCATTGTGTAACACCAAAACTAATTAACATGGAAGGTACCATGCATGGCTTGTACAATATTACAGAGAGGTCAAAATCTGTGTGGCCTTAAGAGGAGCATCCTCCACAACGTACACTAAGTTGTTAGGTTTAAGATCTCTATGCATGAGAGCAAGTGAATGACAAGCCTAAGAAACCCCAAAGATAGTCATGATCAACTTCGCAGCCTGCCTATCACTATAAGCAGAACAGAGGGCATAACTGAAATAATGTAAGAGTGATTCAGAATATGCTCTCTCCAATATTTATTAAATAAGAGGCTTGTCTTCACCATCCTCCTGCAAAAAGATCAAGTAATGAAAAGCCATGAACTTCGAAGCCAATCAAATTCTCATTAAAATCCAATCTTTAGAAAGACAAGAGTGGTCCAATTTTACATGAATAAAGATCAACGTACACTATGAAGCCAATGTGTTGTTGCTCTCCAAATGCTTCAATGGTCTCCGTCTTGTTTCCTTACTTGAGGGTCAAATCTAATACACACACATCAATCATTCAGTTGTTGTGGTCAAGGCTAGTTCATTTAAATTCAATAAAAGACCGACAGAGAGATTTAGAGAGAGAGAGAGAGAGAGGGAGGAATTGAAACACGATGTTTACGCATAATTCAATATTAAATTAAGGGCAGTGTCATCTCTTACCAATAAAACTTTACTATGGGTAAAAGGACATCCTTAGCATTAGGATGCTCCCTCTCCATTGAATTCCACCATTGTTTTGGATGTATATTGATTCTTTAAAGAGAAGGGGGAGGAGATGGATGGCCGTTTTCAAGCAATGGAATACACATCGGTATCCTCTTTAGCTTCTGACATTCCCATACGTCAGTTCTTTCGACAGAATCAAAACTAGTTTTGCACTAGAAATTCTTTTCAGTTCTGGTAAATATCTCAATCTTGGAATTCTTAACTTTGGAAGAAATGAATTTGGTGATGGAATAAGAGCTGCTGCTGCTTTTTTCATCATATGTTGTTCATTTTCTCACAATGCATAACTCTAATCTCTTCCAGGGTTACGAGGTTTGGCCGCAAGCCAAGAGGGAACAACTTCTTCACACTCTTACAACCAGAACAATTAAACATTTTAAGACCTGAAAATATACTGTTATATGATGGAGATGGCAGTGTGGCAGAGCAGAAACCAGAAGATGAAACCAAGCTCTCCATGCTATTGCATTCCCGAATTGAGATGCGCTCCAAATCAGTTGAATACTTTATTAGAGAGGAAACATTGCATAAACTTGTTGCATCATCATAATTATATATTATTAATTCATGAGAATCATTTGGGAACATGGCCTGAAATTCTTCATCTCTCTTGATACTCAAGTTACCCAACCAACCAACCAGATTAAGTTTTGTTATATCTTCCCATCATTTTGCATGTGCTTACTGATTGGGTCTCATCCCGAGATTTGAGATATTCCACAAAGTCAGAGTGGCCTTCAAAATGGCATTCCAAATCTTCCAACTTCCTCGAGCATCCTACTTCATTTCCTTTAACAGTTGCCGGAGCATATTCTCTTCCTGGAGTATATCTTCTTCCATATATCCATTCCTTTAGTATAAATACTAGCAGGTGAGAGAGTTTAGGTAATATCCCACTAGGAAACTTCCCTTTTCACATCCATTCATTCTAAGATACCTCAAGTTGGATAGATATTCCATGCCTTGAGGCATCTTTATAAGTTCAGTAAAACAGAGAATCTTTATAAGTGCAGTAAGACAAAGATCTCTTCAATGCCCTGAGCTTTTCAAATGATGGTACTTCCCGTAAGTTCTCACACCTTTTCAGCAATAATGCAGTGAGACTCATCAAATCAGAGACAGAATCTGGTAATTTTTCAATATTAATACGTGATAGATCAAGAACCTTCAGCTCATGCAATTGCTCTTAAAAAGAACATGTAATAAATTGCAATTGCTTATTATAGCATAACAGTAGAGTTGAGAGATTGGAACACCTTGGTGAATGGCTGGAAGGAATTTCTTTAATTTGGTTATGCATTAGTGAAACTCTCGTAAGATTCTCTGTCCACTCCTCTGCATCCGGCGATTCTTTTAATTGTGCACCTGCTTTAACAATGACTTAGAGTTCTCTTGCAGTGTTTGGATAGTCATATCCCTAATCAAGTCATGCATTTTAACATAGCTATGATCACCATACATTTTTTCACCTTCCAGTAAACAGACATTTTCAAGCCTATTAATAAGCATTGAATGTCCTTTGTCAAATTCTGCCACCTTACTGTTGAACCCTTTTATTTTTTTTTATTATATAATAATATAAATCATATTTTAAAACTTTATTTAAAAATTTAAGTTTTTAAGTTGAAATGATTCTTTAACATGATATTAGAGCTTTAATGACCAAGTGGTCAAGAGTTCAAATCTCATTATCCCTATTTATTTGATAAAAATTAAGTATAAAATAATATGAGCTTAAGCAAGTTTTAAACCCAAAAAACTTTCACTTGTGGAGGTATGTTAGATAATATATAAATTATATTTTAGAACCTCACCTAACAACTTAAGCTAATTAAGGGATTATGTTAGATAATATATAAATCATGTATTAGGACCTCATCTAACAACTTAAACTAAATACATTATCAATTCTTTCTAGGGATCATGAAGTCTTTAGGAAAGAATGCACAAGAAACACCATTGTAGATTTGAATCACTTAGATGGGTATAACTAAATTTTATGTAGAATATGTTAGGTTCCGTATCATCTTTCCTAACTTTTGATTCTTTCAATTCATGTAATACATTTCTCCACTCGCATATGTCACCACTCCCCTCGTGTTCCGGCTATTGTTATAATTCCTTGAGGCAAACCAGCACATTCCCTTGCCATAGATTTTGCAATTTGTTCCACTTATGAAGGAAGTAATGTGTCATGTCCAAGCTTATCCATGAATGAAGTCTAAGCTTTTTGGCTTGAAATAGGCTTTACTTCGATTATTTTTTGGTAGAGCATTCACTGAAAAACTCCAACCATCAAGAGTTTGCTAATTAGAAAGAAAAAATGATAAATGAAATATGACTTGGTAAAGAAATTTATAATCTATATAAAAAAAAAAGAAACCAAAGGTAAAGTAATGGTATCATGTTTGAGATGATGATGAGTAAGATGATAATCGATCTCAATATGCTTAATTTATTCATAAAAAACAGAGTTGTAAGCAATCTGAATAGAACTCTGATTATCACAATATATAAGAGTGGGATGAGAAAGAAAGACTCTTATATTCACAAGTAACTCACATAACCAAACAATTTCTTTGATAGCATATATCATAATATGATATTCTGCTTTGGTTGAAGATTGAGAAACAATAGATTATTTCTTACTCTTTCAAGATATAAAAGAATCACCTAAAAAGATACAAAAACCAATAACTTACTTGTGATCTGTGGGATCATTGTCATAATCAGTATAAGAGTATACATGCAACTCCAAAGAAGAGGTGGATGGAAATAAAAGACTCTGAAAGACTGTGTCTTGAAGATATTTCAAAATACAAAAAATAGTTGTCTAATGAACGATAGTGCAGAAATAATAAACTAACTAACAACATGAATAATATATATAATATCTCGACGAGTAATAATGAAATATACCAAGCTCCTAATAATAGTATAGTATAAAGTAGGATCTGAAAAAGATAAATCATTAAAAAAAAAATATTACGTTAACCTCAATGAGAGTATCTATAGTCTTATTATCAGTAAGCCTAGCCCGCTCGAGAATATCTGTAACATACTTTGACTAAGAAAGAAAGTAATATTTAGTTGAGTAAGCTACCTCAATACCCAAGAAATATTAAAGAAAATCCAAATTCTTCATTTCAAATTGTCTAGCCAACTCTGTCTTTAAAATTTAAATACCATCAATGTCATCACTAGTAATAATCATGTCATCAACATATAAAGAAAAAATGGTATGACTTGCATCATTAAATTTAATAAAAAGAACAGAATCATAAATATTAAAAATAAATCCAAGAGAAGAGATTATAATAGAAAATTTCTCAAACCAAGTATGAGGTACTTATTTGAGACAATATAACATTTTTTTGAGCTAATAAACATATCCAGAGACATATGAAACACAACGAGGGGGCACTATATAAACTTTTTCTTGAAAATCTCCATTCAAGAAGATATTTTTAACATCAAGTTGAGAGATATGTCACCAACAAACTGAAGCTATAGTAGTAAAAATATAAATAGTAGTTATTTTTGCAACAAGAGAAAATATCTCCTCATAATCCATACCATAGTGTTGAGAGTATCATTTTGCAACTAGTTTAGCTTTGTATCACTCAATAAAGCCATCAAAATTAGTCTTGATCTTATACACCCAACGATAACCAACAATATTCTTAGGCACCTATGGAATGCTCAATAGAATTGTTAATCCAAGGAATAATCTTCGCATTGTTTGTTTCTCATGTATCTATCAAGGCATTATACCTCTCATCAATATTCCTAGATATTGCATAAGTTCTACTAATATGTCCCCACATCTTTTTATCCTTAAAAAAATTTCTCATTACATAACTTCAATATGAATAGGTTTTTTTTATCCAACCTCACACTCATATGGTAAAGTGAATCATATCTTTTAATAGCTATAATCAACAAATAAAAAAAACTAGAATGCACAAGAACAAAATACCAAATTGCATAAACTAAATAAATACTACAAAAACTGAAAAAATATCTTCTCAAAGTTATATAATCATTCCAAAAAAATTGCAAAAACATGACACAAATACTAAATTGCAGAAATTGAAAGGAAAATAAAATACCAAATTTATAGAAATAAAACATAAATACAAATTACAAAAACTAAAGGAAAGACAAAATACCAAATTGTTGAAACTAAATGGAAGATGAAATATCAAATTTGTAGAAACTAAACAAATATCACACCAAATTAGATCCATGAATGTTGTGTTTGATATTAAGACTCTTTCCATGAAATCATGCTCTAATACCATGTTAAACAATTCAAAGTAAACAAAGAGAAATATGAACATAAGAGAGGAGGAGTCTAGAGTTCCATTATTTACTTTATTTTGAAGTTATTAATTTAATCTAAATATAAAGAGATTATATATATGTTAAACTAAAAATACTATTCTATACTTAATAAATAAAACAAAATAAATATTTTTTTTAACAATATAGCCCATGGAAAAGAATGCTAAGCAAGAATCCAAGAGTTTTATTAGTTCAATTAGTAATTTAAGTAATATAATTTTAAAAAAATACAGTAACAAGAAATAAATAGACAATTAAAAAAAATACTTTAAGCCTATTCAGATAATGAAATAACTCAATGTTGAATGACAAAACTGAAAAAAAAATATCTCAGTTAAATCAAGTTAATTAACAAACTTTACGACTATGAACATAAGATTTAAATAAGCTCATAGAAATAAATGCATAAAAAAAGCTTGAGAACATAATAACTTCAGAAAAAGAAAAAGAAAGATGAATCTCAATCTTTAGTAAATAAAATGTTGAAGAAAGAAAATTAAGAAAGAAATATAATTAAAAAGGTATAAAAAAAACTTGATCTGAACCCCCTCAAGTCAAGATGTAAAATGTATCGACTCAAATGTACGATTTGATTAATGTTAAAAGATCCCAAGATATTCCTTTAATTTGAGGGTATTTTTTTCTACCAAACAGCTCTCTTGAAGTGCTCAATATGAATAGAAACACGTCGAGAGTTGTTTGTTTTCTCCTAAACGATACTATATATGTCGAGGAGAAGGTCATAAGTAGAAAACCTGCTAGTACTTAGAAAGAGGATGTCATCACTATGGTGAGAAGGGTCACTTTAAAAGGGAATGCCCCCATTTAAACACTGAACAACCTCAGAGACATAGACAACAAAGTCAAAGTCATTAGTAGTTCATCACAGTAAACAGATCGAGAAGGTTGACTCAGTCAGGAGCTAACTCAAATAAGGGACGTCCTAGAGTGCAAAATAAAAAGGATCAAGAAAGGGTTTTTCATATGACCTAAGAGAATGTTAGAGCAACATCAAATGTTGTGGTAGGTATTCTGCAAATGAACGATGATCAAATGCATGTTTTGTTTAATTTTGGTGTCACTCACTCTTTTATAGCAAATAAAAATGTAACAAAATTGAGTAAAGAAACAAAAGGGGTAGAAAAATGACTTATTATTAAGACACCTTTAGGTGAAACTATGAAAACAAATGTTGTATTGGAGGGGGTGGGAATTAACATTAGTGGGTGGGAACTAGAAGCAGATTTAATACCCCTAGAATTAAGTGATTTTGATATAATTCTAGGTATGAATTGGTTGTGCAAAAATAAAGCTTGTCTAAACTACTCTACAAAAACGGTAACCTTCCAAGAGGCTAGGGGTGAAACAATGGTCTTTACAGGGGAGAGAATTTCCAACTTTACAAATATAATCTTGGTTATAGATGCGAGAAAATTGTTAAAAAAGGGTTATACAGTATACCTTACTTATATGATAAATTTGAAAAAGGGTAAAATAGGATTATCTAACATTCCAATTATGAGGGAATTTCTGGATGTATTTCTAAAAGAATTTTTAGGACTACCCTCTGAAAGAGAAGTTGAAGTCATCATTGACATATTGCCTAAGGTGTCTCCTATAGCCCAACCACCATATAGAATGGCCCTAAAAGAATTGGATGAGTTAAAAATTGAATTGTAGGAGCTTTTAGACAAAGGGTTCATACGATTAAGCAACTCACCTTGGAGGACACCCGTATTATTTGTGAAGAAGAAAGATGGAACGCTAAGGCTTTGTATAGATTATCGTTAGCTAAATAAAGTGACAGTAAAGAATAAATATCTACTTCCTCGGATAAATGATTTGTTTGATCAACTAAAGGGTGCTAAAGTATTCTCAAAGATTGATTGAAGATCAGGATATCACCAGATGCGAATCAAAGGGAAAGATATGCTGAAAACTACCTTCAGAACTCACTACGGACACTTTGAGTTCTTGGTGCTATCTTTTGCATTGACTATTGCTCCAACACTTTTTATGGATCTAATGAACCAAGTATTCCAACAATACCTTGATAAGCTTGTTGTCGTATTCATCGATGACATCTTGGTTTACTCTAAATCATATGAAGAACTGTCAATTATATGTCAGGTTGGATAAATGTGACTTCTGGTTAAAAGAAGTTACCTTTTTCAGGCATATAAGGTCTTCAGAAGGCATTTTTATGGACTTTTAGAAGTGGAAGCAGTTTTGAGATGGGAAAGGCCTACAGTAATGGAAGTTCATAGTTTTCTTGGATTGACAGGGTGTTATAGAAGGTTTATCGAAGAGTTTTCAACAATAGCAACTCCATTGGCACGACTCACCAAGAAAAACATAAAATAGGAGTGGTCAAATAAGTGTGATAAGAGCTTTCAAAAATTGAAGAGAAGGTTTACTAATGTTCCCGTGCTAATCTTTCCATTCAAAACAAAAAGCTTTATAGTCTATAGTGATAAAGGAACTGGGTTATGATCTAATGCAACATGAAAAAAGTAGTTGCCTATATATCAAGATAACTGAAGACTCATAAAATCAACTATCCAGTTTATGATTTAGAATTAATAATAGTAATTTCTACCTTACAAGTATTTAGAATTAATAGTAGTAGTTTCTATCTTACGAGTATGGAGACACTACTTATACAAATCTTAAATTTAAATTTAAATTTTCATAAATCATAAGATCCTTAAATATCTGATGTCGTAAAAAAAATTAAATATGCGACAACAAAAATGGATAAAATTAATTAAAGATTATAACTATATTATAAATTATCAACAAGAAAAAACAAATACTGTCACGTATACTCTCAGCAGTAAAAAAAGGTGATTAGTGGTGGACCAAAGACTTGGAATGAGAAAACTATAATTGAGGTAAAGAGATTGGGAACAATATTAAATGTGAGTCCGGAAGGATCCTTAATGGCTCAACTAAAGGTGAATCTAGGATACAGCTAGTCCAACCAAGTATAACAGTGGTTTAACAATCATTTTTTCAATTTTCATTTCCATACAGAACCAATGATAATTTCAGGCAAGAAAATATAATAAATCTTGTCAATATCCTCTAAATGATCAATAAATACTATAATTTGAAAAGGGAAAATACCTTATTGTCTATAAGCATTAAAATAAATTTGGCTCTGTAAAAAATCAAACGTGTTTTCACGAACTCACTGTATATTGTATGGCTAAACAGCCAGGATCAACAAACACAAAATTGCCTACACAATCTTCTTGGTTGCAACTGCTTAATGGCCGAGAGCGACACCACAACACAATATAAATTGCAATTTATTAAGACCAAGTGTTTTCTCCACCTGATGAAACTCTACTTTCTAACAAATTTCGTGGACCCTCCAACTATTTCTGCCTCTTACTATCCAATGCTTCCTTGAGTTTCCTTCCCAATGCATATGCTAGAGGAGGAGGAACAGCATTTCCAATTTGCCGATGCTTGTGTTGAATGTTACCGAAAAACTGATAGTTATCTGGGAATCCCTGGGTCAAAGAATTAAGAAAAAAGGAAACAAATAAAAAAGCAAAACCAAGCTTTTGCGTGCAGCGCAGGAGCCCGGGTAACATCCAAGGTAGATGATTGTTGCAAGCACTGGCTACGTGCTGTCTCTTTTTAAAACTTCTTTCAGAATCAATTTATTTTATAAAGTCAGAAACTTGGACAATGGTCAAACAGTGCAGGGAAACTGAACTTACTTGAGATCGTGCACATTCACGAACAGTAAGAATCCTGTCCTGCTCAGGGTGGAAGCACATCCCCACCTTACCCATTGGCTGGGGATCTGTTATTGATGTTGGGAAGTTCCCTTCCCAATCCAACCTTCCAAATAGCCCCTTCCACTGATTGTGTCGTTTAGCTGTGTTTGGAAGGCACCATGGTATCAAATCAACCACTTGCCCAGTAGACAATTTGACCTGCATATCATGACATTATCGAAAATCACTCGTCTCTACTTTCATCATGCATTAGGTTTATATCAACCTCGCATTGCAAGGTATCAATAAGAAGTGTTTGTACCTTTTCATCTGGGAGATCACGCCAATCAGCACCTGGCCGCTTTGGGATATTCTTGCATCTAATAAGATTCAGCTCATTCATTTCTTTTGATATATGGTCAGTCAAGACAACCATGTCGCCTCGAATTTTCTTTTGAAACCAAGAGATAGGATCATTTCCGTACTGCAAAACAAAAGGTTTGGTTATAATGCCCATGATCATATTAATCTGGAGTAAGCAGTTCCAGAAGAAAATTTTAGCACCTAATATACCTCCAAATTTGTCTTAGAAACACCATTCGCCACAACTGGGAGATCACCAATTGTATCTCTGACAGTTATTGCACGGAAAGGGGCTCCACAAGCAGTACTCCTAACAGCAGCATATTGTGACTTCTCAGACAATGTTATTTTTAACTCTGGGGCAGCAAAAACATGCATTGGCTCTGGCCATTCTGGGAGTATCTGCTCAGGGGCGGCTGCCCATATAAAGGCACGTTTGCGTGACTGAGAAACTCCATATGCTCCGGCCTCCAAAATTCCAAATCTCACCTATTCACAAGCATACACGTGTAGACATGGTTACATACAATTAGCATTCTGCATACAAACACGAAATTATACGACCATGGTTATTTCCAATGGCATCGCAATATCTACCTGATAACCCATCTGAAGAAGAGAAGCAATAGTTAAACGGAAAGTCTGTCCTTTATTGAAAGATACAAAGTTCCTCACATTCTCTAAGAGGAAATACTTTGGGCGGAAGTAATCAGCAAAGGATAAGAATGCTAAGATCATCTCACATTGAACTTTACTCCAAGTGCTCTGATTAAACCTATTCATTCCAGAGAAGCCCTGCAAAGACACATTACTTCTTCAAGTGTCCATAAATTTAAGCGATGTTAGATGCCTCAGGTTAGTGCAAAGAAAGGCTATAAATACCTGACATGGAGGCCCTCCATTGATGAAATCCACCTGCCCTGGCAATGGCAAACCATCAATCACCTTCGCATCAAGTGATGAAGCCAATTTAGCAGCCTCAGAAGTAGAAATACAGTCATCTGCATCTCCACACCTTTCCATCACAGCCCTTAATTAACATCAAATAATCAATCAACAGAAAAAAAATGAGTGAGAACAAAAGAAAATTTCAATCACAAAACAACCACTTACCTGAGGATCACATTGCAATTATTAATAAACATCAATGATTCTGCATGATTGAGTTTAAATGCTTCCCCAGCAGGCTCTTCATATTCAATAGCCCACTTGGTTGTTGAGACACCTGCAATGGTGGAAATAGCCAGTAGTCAATTTATCCAACAGTGGCATAAATATCAACTATTCCTCCAAGTGAAGGATAAAGAGATGAGCACTACCAGCTTGCTGCAATCCCTCAGACAAGCCACCACAACCAGCAAAAATATCCAAAGTGGCCAAAGGGTACTCTGGAGATGCTTCCAATTGTTTGTCATCTTCTGTATCATTTTCTCCTTCTTTGGACTTTCCCTTTCTCTTTCTACTTGCAACATCACCATCTTTACTGATAGCTGAAAACTTTGATTTGATATGAGCTGGTAGCTGTCCACAGTGAAACTGCAAGATTACTTATAGCTCACAGGAGCAAAGTTGAATAGTGATCCTCATAATGGCCCAGAGAAGCAATCTGAACGGCTTAGATGGCCTTAGAAATTAACTAAACTGACAATTCTCCATAAGCTGATGGACTCAGTCAGCATGTAACATTATGGTAATGAACAAAAGACAAATCACCTGCTTGAGGGACCCATTGGAAGGATCATACATGTGCTCACAGAAGAAGATATGATCAAAGATTGCAGGAGCACTGCATGTGGGAATATCAATTTTCTTTCTGACTTCACATTTCCCTTCAATCATCTCAACAGATAAAAGATGTGTTTCTTCACTATAATATATCTGAAATTAAGCAATAAAAACTCATTATGAAATACAAAGAAGCAAAGCCCACATTCAGGAAACTTATAATTGCAAGATTGATAGTTTTCTGCCAATAATTAAGAAAACCAACACATTTCTTATGTCAGAGCAGTTTCTGGAGTTCTTTGGCACGAATTTGTTGGATAAATTTGGATGAGACTATAAATGTCGAGCAATATGGTCAAAGAGTGACTACAGAATCCACAAAGATGATAAAACATAATTATACAGAAGTTTTTAAAAAAGCTTTTACCTCACGAATATCAGAACAATATGCCTTTTCAGGTGAAATATCATCTGGTCTGAAAAATCTTTGAACTTTGACCTCAGTGGATCTTGTTTCAGATTGTTTTGTTTCCATTGGAACAACTTCCAATAACTGGCACACAGCATAAGGCTTCAATCCAACATTCCTTCCACCCTTAAAAGTTTCAGTCTCCCCACTTTCCACGGAAAATTGATGAGGGCTCACATAAACAAAATCATGGACTGAGTACTCCGTTCCCTTGTATGAAAATCCTGTTTGAGAAGAATTCACTATGGATATATTCTTGTCTTCTTCAGATATTTTTAAGTTACAAGAGTGGCAGACACCAGAACCAAGACCCACAGTATCAAATGGAAGAGTGAAGAAAGCACCCCTTTCTGGCCAGTACAAGCTTTTACAGTAATATTCTAGTGGCAATCCTTTCTTTTTCCTCTCTTCTGCCTTTTCCCTATCAATTCTATCAGCATTGGCATTATCTTTCCTGTGATGATGCCCCCAAGGCCTTTTTTGAACTTCCAGAATTATTGCTTGCTTAACATCCTGTAGTTTATAATTCATGCATTCATTTGTTAAGAAAACCTCTCTATCATTGGCAGTGTTACCAAGAACTGTCTCAGATCCCCACTTCATCATTCTCCCATGAAACATTTTACTTCCATTTCTTGTTTCAAACATGTACTCCACAAAATAAATGGCAGGAAGTTCATCTGGTTCATCAACCTCCACTAAGACAGCAGCCCCCACCACAATGACCTGTCCACAAACAATGGCTTGCTTGTAAATGTCTTCTCCAGAAGATGTTTTGCTTACAGGATTCCCATCCCATCTTACCTCTTTTTGTGAAGTATGGGATTTACAATGTTCAAACACTGAATAAGGTTTTAGTGTTTTCTCTACCACCACCTCTTTATCATCATCTTCATTTTCATCCTGTTCCTCAAGTTCATCTTCTTTTACATCACAATCATTTCCCTCTTTCAAATCCTCTGGAGAATAGTTTGAATAATATTCCCCCCATATTCTGTTGATCAGTCTTGTTGTTGTTGCCTGCATAAGCTTCCTCTTGGATGCTCCAGAAGCAACAGTATCCATTGCAGCCCGAGGATTCAAATTGGAATGACACTTTTGCACAATTGCTTTCTTGTTCACTACCCATTTAGTATGGTGCCTCTCCTCCATCATACGAGTCAAACCAACCACAAATGCACATTTCTTGATCTTCTGATCTGGAAACTCAGCAAAAAGCTGTAGTATTATTTGTCCATGCACAACCACATACCTCTCAACTGCTGCTAGATCAGAAGAAATATAAGCATGATGATCCTTCTTGAACTCAGACACTTTCCGGATTACATCTGCAAAAGAAAGCCGTGATACTCGACTTTGCTCCTTCAACAAAGTAATGATGCTTCTTGCAAGCTTTACTGTTTTTAGGACTGGCTTATACCAGGAAGCATATTGTTTTGATGGCTTTCCAAGTCTATACCTGAAGATGTTGAGAAAGACAAAAACACTGATCAAGATCACCAGAAAATAAAATTACTAACTTGCAGCACCAGAAATCTTTCATGAGATAAAACCCAAAATAACTTCCAAAGGGAAAACATACACTTATGGTTTCTCCCTGATATGTTAGTAACCTGCTACCAACTTAATCAATCCCTATAGTTGAATAGTTTCAACATATTTTCAATGAGAAGACATATTTGATTGGCACACAGATTGTTAGTTAAAATGAATAGAAGCAAGGTCAAGAGACAGCAATAATTCTAGCACATGTGCATGTGTCTGTATGTTTGTTGGTGTTATGTGTTTGATTAAAAACAATATGAGAATATTACAATACCAGGCCATGTCCGTGCGTAGTGATATAAAAATCATTGATGATCCAAACTCAATCATCCACTCCTTTATCGCACTCAAAAATATTGGCAAACCCATGTCATCCTGAGCCTCCAAACCCCTTGAAGAAGACTGATCAGGACCATCATCAAGACAGAATCCGCTTCCGTCATCTTCAGTCATACTTCCTGATCCAAAGATGGTGACATCAATGTCTTCACAAGGTTTCATTGGAAGAAGCTCCAGAGAAATCAACCTTGAGTCTGAGTTATAAAGTGACCAGTTATGAAGCATTCTTCTAGGGAGATCATCAGGATGGTCAATTACATCATCACTTGCAACAGCTATATACTCATCGGTTTCTTCATTAGAGTGTTTGTAAAACGCAGGGAGAGGGTAGTCATTTGCAATCTCATCTTCATTAATTTTGATGTAGATTGTGTTGGATGCAGAAACTGAACCACGACTTTTCTTCTGCCTCATATTAGACTGCCAATACTCTTCTTCCTGCAATAATCTTGCTAACTTTGCATCCTCATCTTCCTCAGCTGTGGTACTGGATTGGTTAGACTGATTCACAACAGCACCATCCACAGATTCTGGACCAATCACCAAGTTCCCACCAGAATTTGCTGCTTTTGCTATCAGAACATTTCCATGATTGCAACTTTCATCTCTCAAGGCAACAAGAACAGGCAAGTCTGCAAATTTCTTATCATTCTTTTTGGAAGTCTCATCCAAACCAATTATTTGGTGATAAATAAATTCACCCTGTGAAATGAGGAAATTCCTGATGGATACTGCACCAGAGAAACACTTATTTCCACTCATTGCTCGCACAACCCCAGCAAGCAACTCATCAAGGGTGACTTCAGGGTTTCCTCCAGAGAATCTTGAGAGTTTTTTGTAGACTTCAACACAAGCAAGTGCCTTCAGAAAGAAATGATCAAAGAACTTCTTGTAGCCACCTGCAGGCTTAATGCAGTCATAATCTGCCACTTCAGTACTCAGCCAAATGACTGGGGATCCATCTTCATAACCAGAGATATCCCATGCTTCTATCCTTCCAAAGCCATCACACCTAACATGCACTTCTTTTTCCTTGTCAAGGCTTTCCTCGTGAGGCATTATAATGCCAGAGATGAACATATCATCAACTTCAACCATCTCCAAGGGCTGTGGGTTGCCATTTGCATCATGCACAACAAAATCAATCAATCTCCTGTTTGGGCGACCCTCTTCTTGCCCTTGAGTCAAACGAACAGCTAGAATCTCTTCATCGACAACTTGTTCTTTCTTTGATTCAACATAAGACTTCTCTTCATGCAATCGTACAGATTTCTCCTTGAAATCTTTGCATGCAGCAGCTCTCTTAGGCCTTTTCAGTGAACCATCACCACCAGTAGGCTCTTCCTTGTTGGTATCGGGGGAATTTCTCTTCTTCCCTTTTGTGTTTTTTTCTGGCACTTCTTTTTTTACATTAGACACTGAAGATTTTTGTTTCCCTTTTTTGTTCTTCCTCATACCTACTGCAAAGTTCAAAAGTTCAGTGAAGAAGCAAAAAGGCTAATACTTTGATTGTTTAACGTCAGTCATGAAGCAAAATGCATTAGACTTTGAATGTAACAAAAAAAGTCATTTTGTAGTGTGCTATCAATCAACCATATTAGTTCATGCAGTACTCCCTCGTACAAAGTGATTTTTCTAGTGAAAAAAATTAACCCTTATATCAAGCCAAAACAACCCTGTATTTGGTAACGTGGTTAGAAGTACACTACGGTTGTTAAGCATCAAATTGATGGCTCATTTCCATGCACCAAATTGATGCGGTGAGTTTCGCATTTCAAAATACCAAAAAGCTGTTCACATTTATGTAACAAATTGAGAAAGCTAATAAATGAAATTGAGGTATATGAAAAACTCTCAAGATTCTCTATTTTCTTAGAGGATTTATGAACCAGATTGCAGACACGCCAAATCAAGAGGGCTAATAAGTGATATGCTTGATCAAATATCAAATGTGCCCTAAAACTTTTATTGCAACAGTGGCATATAAAGGGTTACAAACCAACCAAATTGAGAGAGCTAATAATTGATGCTTCTCACATTTCCAAACATACTAGACCCAAAAATCAAACATGTTCTAATAAAACGGTGGCAAATAACAAATTGAGAAAGCTGGTATTTGATGCTTCTCACATTTACAAACATACTTGATGGAAATATCAAACATGTTCTAATACAATATTGGCAAATAACAAATTGAGAAAGCTAATAATTGATGCTTCTCAAATTTCCAAACATATTCTAAATTTTCTAATAAAATAATGGCAAATAACAAATCAAGAAAGCTGATAATTGATGCTTCTCAAATTTCCAAACATACTTGACTGGCGTATCAAACATGTTCTAAATCTTCTAAGAAAATGGTGGCAAACAACAAATTGAGAAAGCTGATAGTTGATGCTTCTCACATTTCCAACATTCTTGACCCAAATATCAAACTTGTTTTAGAATTTTTAATACAACAATGGCAAATGACAAATCAAGAAAGGTGGTATTTGATGCCTCTCACATTTACAAACATAATTGACTGAAATATCAAACGTTTTCTAATACAATAATGGCAAATAACAAATTGAGAAAGCTAATAATTGATGATTCTCACATTTCCTAACATATTTGACCCAAATATCGAACATGTTCTAAACCTTCTAATAAAATAGTGGCGAATAACAAATTGAGAAAGCTAATAATTGATGCTTCTCACATTTCCAAACATGCATGACTGACATATCAAACATGTTCTAAATCCTCTAACAAGATAGTGGCAAATAACAAATTGAGAAAGCTAATAATTGATGTTTCTCGCATTTCCAAACATGCCCAACTGACATATCAAACGTGTTCTAAATCTTCTAATAAATTAGTGGCAAGTAACAAATCAAGAAAGCTAATAATTGATGCTTCTTACATTTCCAAACATACTTGACTCAATTATCAAACATGTTCTTGAATTTCTAATACAACAGCGGAAAATAACAGGGTTACAAACCCATCAAATCAAGAAAGCTAATTATTAATGGATTTCATATTTCCAATCCTACTTGAGTGCACTACGAAACATGCCCTGAAACTTCTATTATGGCAGTTTAAATAACAAGGCCACGCAGCCATTAAATCAAGAAGTATAATAACGCTTACACAAACATCAAACTACATGCATAAAGTACGCTAGGAAAATGAGACTAGGACTCAGATACAATCAAGATAGTGCACCATAATACTTTCTATACACGAAAGAAATCTAAATTCTATATTCTTTCTTAACAGGTTTTGTTTTCTAACAGAAACTGTACAACTTCCTGCCTAAGCACCAAAGATTTGTATATTGTGTACAAGTTTTAACTCGGAAACAAACAAACGAACAGACAAACAAACCCCAATTTGCAAAAATGAAAAAAAATAAAAAACCCAGCTGATGAATTGGATCCTGGGTCTAAGTTTTGGGTGATGGAAAGAAGTAAAGTAGGATGTTTTGCCTTTGACTACATAGAATAATGTTAATAGTCCTTGACAAATCTTAAACAAAAATACAAAAGCGAAAAACCAACGAACCATTCATAATCCAATCATGAAACAAACATCAAGTAGATTGAGGTTGGATGATAACCAGATGATGAAGAAGAAATAGTATTATCAACTGGATCATTTGTTGTTGTATCCAATATTGATGAAGATCCCATCTTTATTTCTTTCCCTTATCGACAAACCCCTCCTGCTTCTGCTTTGTTCTTTGTCCTTTGCGGTGGCCTGGGTTAGGTTTGGGGTTTGGTTGTTAGATTGATGACAGCAACAAAACTAAAATGTAATAAGTAATGGTGGATTTAAAGGGAAAAACAGTGGGCGGGAAACGAAAAGATGTGTGCTTTGGTTTTGGACATTGGTGTCTATTGCCTCCAAAACAAAAACCAAAAGGTGTCAGTGTAATTCACCCATCTCTTCCCTCCATACCACATTGCGTTTACTTGCTCCCACTCTCCACCACTGTGTCTCAGATTTCTTTGTGGAATGGGCCGATTCTCTTTCTGGCCCATTAAACTGACAACAAAAGCCCGTTATTATATTGCTTGTAGGCTGTTTCCTATTGGGGTAATAGTAAAGGTTGGATTTTTACTCAGATCACCCTCCATCATATGTTCCCGCGGCAGACAACGACACAATGTAAGCCGGACGTGCCGTTGACGTTGCAGAAGCTCAGTAATAGCTGCCAGATTACCATGAGAAGAATCATGTTGAAGCAATAGGTCCACACTGCAAACTTAGAATCAACTTCCACGATGATTTTTTCTACAATCCACCCACCAAGCAATATCTATGCCGTTTAAAATACCCCATAGCTCAGCACAAAGCACTGAACATATATCAAGATGGTAAGCAAAGCCCTTAATCCAACCTCCAGCACCATCTCTGACAAGACCTCCAGCTATAGCAGTACCAAGTAAGGCTGTAAATGCCCCATCTGTATTCAGCATCACCCAACCACTAACGGTTACGCCAACAGAGAGAGAGAGAGAGAGAAGAGGGAGACTAGTCCACAATTGGTGTTTTCATTTCGTTGTAATTCTAATGGTTACGCCAACACTTTTCAATTTGTCATGGGAACCATGAAAAAATCTACTAAAACTATCTTCGTCAGTATATCTGTCAATTAGTCTTTTGATTTAACAAAAATAAAACGGATAATCTTCTCTTTGAAGTTTTGCTTGATAAAATGTCTATTTATTTCCCAGTGTTTTGTTCGATTAAGATATCAATTATAGCCGTCTTTGTCACAAAACAAATTTCCATTAGCAAGCACTTTTATCATCCTCCTAAACTCACTTTTGTTAAATAATATTTATATAATTTTATTTATTAAATATATAATAAAATTTTAATTTAATCTATATATATTTTATTTATATTTAGATTAAAATTAAACGCTTATAATATACAGATCATTCAATATTTTAGTTTTCTTTTTAGTGTTTAATTTTAATTATTTTAATAATATACCAAAGTTAGTTTTATGAAATGAAATTTAATTATAAACATAGCTTTCGCAGATCCAACTCCACGGTGAGTTGACTGGGTGTTTATAGGGAGCAGCCCCTACTGGGATTCGAGACAGAGCCTTGAAAATTTTTTAGAGTGATATTTTATTTTCAGCTTCTTCAAAATTTGGTATTTCATCTTCCCTTCAGCTTTTATAATTTGATATTTTCATTCAATTTTTGCAATTATTTTGATATTTCATCCTCCCTTTACTTTATGCAATTTAGTATTTTCTATGATTATTAATTATGGCTACTAAAAGAGATGATTCACTTTAATCTGTGAGTGTGAGATTGGATGGGAAAAACTATTTATATTGGAGTTATGTAATGAGAAATTTTTTTAATAGTAAGAAGATGTGGGGGTATGTTAGTGAAACTTATATGATAACTAAGAATATTGAGGAGAGGGATGTTGTTTTGATAGATATATGGAAAGAAAATAATGCAAAGATTATTACTTGAATCAATAATTCTGTTGAGCATTCGATAGATGCGGAGATAGCAAAGTATAAGACAATAAAAGAGGTTTGGGATCATCTCCAAAGGTTATTCAAACAATCAAATTTTGCAAAATAGTATCAATTAGAAAATGACACACAAGCTCTTCATTAAAAAAATATAAGTGTTTAAGAATTTTATTCTGCTTTAATAGATTTTTGGGATCAACTGACTCTTATAGAATAGGAAGAATTAAAAGTATATGGTTTCTATATTGAGCGTAGAAAACAATAATGATTGGTACAGTTTTTAACAACACTTTGCAGTGATTTGAAGGACTTAAAGGTTCAATTCTACATCATTTTCCATTGTCTTTTGTTGATTCTGTTGTTAGTAAGTTATTGGCTGAAGAAATACGTCTTTAGTCTTATTCTTAAAAGGAAATTATTTCTGCTTCAAATTCTTTTGTACTAACAATACCTGATAAGTCATTTTCTAATCATTAAAACAAGCCTAACGCAAGGATTGGCTTTGATGAGTACAGTTTCTGTAAGCAGAAAGATCATTTGAAGGCTTAGTGTCCTAAATTAAGACAATAGAATCAAGCTTGAAAATCTGGCAGTCAATTATAATTTAATGCTAATAGACCACCTCAAGGTTATAAATCACTAATGATAGCAAAAAAACTGAGAAACCGATTAAACTGAGAAAATCAAGAAAAAAATAATAAAAAAAACCGAACTGAAAAAATAAACCAATTGAATCGATTATTTTTAAAAAGAATTCAGTTCGATTCGATTTCAGTTTAAAAAATCTAAAACTAAGCAAACCCAACCGAACCGAATTGATTCAATTAAGGGGTATTACAAATACAAAATTTCTTAACCCTAATAGGCAATACTCATCCTCTGCGTCCAGTTGCCCCTCTCAACCCTCATAAATTCACAAAATCACAATTCATTGATTCATTATTCACATATCTTTCATCTTTCTCAAGTCTTAAACTCTCAATCTCAGAATCTCTCACAATCTCAGTTATCTAGCTGTCCCCTCTCAACCCTCACAAACCAAGTAAAAAATAATCAATTTTCATCTCCATTTTCCCGAGTCCTTGACTTTACAAATCTGGACAAACCAGTCATATTCCTCTCTCAGTCTCCCACATGGGCATGACACCCGACTTGACCCAACCTAGCCTTTAGATCTAACAAACCAGTCACCTTTCTCTCTCACACTTGACCCGACCTTGAATCTTGTGATACCAGGTATGATTTTTTTTTCTATCAATCTCTATTTTTTTTGAAATAACATATGCTCTGTGGTGTGATTTGTGTACTTGAGATTTGTGAACACTAGAGCTCAACGGTTACAAGATCTTATCCCGTAATTACCTCTCTTTTACGTTTTTATATGGTTTTCTAAGTGCTAGGTTTTGTTTGTTTTAGATGGTTGTGTACTGGGGGTTGATAAAGTTTAGATTTTTAGATCTGGATGAGTGGGTGGTGTTTTTTTGGATGATTGTGTTTTGTGTGTTGAAAAAGGTGGGATTTTTAAGGGTCATATGCGTGTTGGTGTATTTGGGCTGTTACGAAACAATAATTTAATGTGAGTTGGACGTGTTTGAAGATGAAAGGTGTTGCGTTTTTATCTGTTTAATCCTGCAAACTCGGAACCATGAGGGCTTGTTTGTGTGGATCCTGCATGCTTGCAAAAATAAAGATTCTTCTAGCTTTCGCATAGATTTACTAAGAAGCAGTTGCGAGCGGTGAGAGACGTTGAGGTACATTTCTTGACTTCAGCCAAATCTTAGAAATAATTGAATCATTGTGGCAAACTTAAGCTAAGAGTGCTAGACATTGCAGCATGTTATTCATCAAGCTATTGCTTCACCTCAATAAATAGTCATCCATAGCTCAAAAATGTTTACAGTGTATATACTAGGCTTCTTCCAGAGTTGATTTTGTCAATCTGCAACCAAATTAATCTTAGACATGGCAAGGGTCATCTGCTTATTTTATTCTCTTGTCGATAATGTTTTGGTTTCTAGGCAGCAGTACCTAGCATTCTTGAGATAACTGACGAGCTCTTCTTCAAGAGTACTATCAACATCCTAGCTTGCATTATTGTGAAGCTAGGAATCAATTAGCTATGAATTCTATCCAACCAAAAATCAAAACTGCATTCATGTAGTTTCTATTTTCTGATTAACAAAAAGCCATAAACATAAGTTGTTTTCCATCTGCTGTAAGTGTAGCAGCCGCTTTTCTTTCATTTTCCTTCAATGGAGCACCAAAACAGATTAATCCTGCAAACTCGAAACCATGAGGTTGTGTAGTCCATTGGTTTGCTTGCAAATGTTTTGTTAATTGTTTCTTTGCACTTAACCTATTTTTGGTATAATGGATTGGAAAGTAATTGATGTAGTGGAAGGAGGAAATGATGTTCCTGTGATGGAAAGAAGTGGGAATCATTTGAACACATCTAATGTGAAGTGTTTTATTTTATCTGAGAGTAAGATTTTTTTCTTCCCGCAATTTCCAAGTGCAGTGTTATAACTTTTTGTTGTCAATGTTACCTTTGACTCAATTAACTTACACCTTTTATTTTGTTTTTATGATTTGTTAATTAAATTGCTTGTAATCATTTAACATGTTTAATTTTTTATTTTATAGAATTTAATGGAAAGTTACATGTAGCATCGGATATAATTAGTTTAGAATTTACTTTGATGGTAAAATACTATTTTTTATTTTTATATATTTTAATTTATTTTATCATGTTTTAATTTTAGATCTTGATTTTCAAGTTTTGATGTCGGTGGTATTACGGAATCAAAATGCAATGTTCTGGTCATCTTGATGTGCTTTTTTATTGGGATGATATGCACAATGAAGATTTATATTTTTTGCATGAAGTGTTTTATTTTTTATGACAATGTTATTTATTGTTTCTTTTTAATCTCTTTTGAAGGCTATGCTTTGTAATTTAAATTTTAATTTGGTGTGTTATTTAAACTTTAATGTAGGAGGAGTCCAAAACACAAATATTAGAAAGACTTGCAACATATAAAACACAATATTAGAACTAATAATTTAATATAAATGAATATTTAATGACAAAAAATATTAAATATATTATAGAATTTTGTAACGAAAATAGATAATATTTATATTAATTACAAGCTCATTAGAAAACCTATTAGAAAGCCCAAAAAAGCAAAAAAAAACAATAATATAGGTTTTCCAGTTTTTTTATTAAAAAACCAGACTAAATCGAACCGAAACCGATCAGTTTGAATCGGTTTTGATTTGGTTCTGGTTTGAATTTTTTTAGTTTTTTAAAATTTAATTTGGGTTAGTTTTTTAGATAAAAACTTAATCAAAATGACTTTGCTCACCCTTATAAATCACCATACCACAATACCACAGCAATAGCTTCCTAGGCTCTATTACCAATCCTAATACTTTGGCTGAGCAATTTCAGAAGTTTCTTTCCTTACAACCACAAGCAATGTTCGCTTCTTCTTTTATAAGTCAATTGTCTCATACTTCCTCAAGTATATCATACTATGAATGGGTCTTGGATTTTGGTACTTTCCATTATATATCTCTAGATTTCTCATCTTTACTTTTATATCCCTTTTGTCCTTCATTCTTGTTATGTTTGTTGCTGGCACTCATATGCCTTTAATAGGTGTTGGTTTTGTTGTCACACCTTACTTGTCTTTTCCTAATATTTATCTGATTTTAAAACTTAAATTGAATCTTGTATTTGTTGGTCAAATATGTGATTCTGGTGATTATTTAGTCATGTTTTCTAATTTTTCTTGTTGTGTACAGGATTTACAATCTCACAAACTGATTGGGATGGGTTGTAGGGAGAATGAACTATATATTTTGGATGAGTTAAAAGTGCTAATTGTTGTTGCCGCTGCTACAACTACTGTTGATTTATTTTTAACATCCACAAGAGCTTTAGAAAATTTGGAAACTTGTGAATTTTTTTATGGTAGTGGATATAAATTAGTAGAATTTTTTGCTTTATCTTTTAATCGAAGTATTTCTGTTTCTTCTTCACCATTTGATATTGATTCATTTTGATATATGAGGACCTTTTTCTATTGCCTCAAAAGGAGGATTCTTTTATTGATGATCATACTCATTATTGTTGAGTTTATTTAATAAAACATTGTATGAATTCCTTAAGATATACACAGCTTTTTAAGCTCTTATTAAAACTTAATATTTTGTTATGATCAAATGCTTTAGGTGTGATTTGGGTGGGGAATACACCTCTAATAAATTTTGCTAATTACTTGCCTTAAATAGACCATCCACCAAACTTTATGTACAAATACTCTTGTGCAAAATGGTGTTACTAAAAAAAAAACATAGGTATATTATCGAAACTGTTTGTTCTCTCTTATTGTTTGCTTTTGTTCCTAGTGAGCTTTGGGGAGAAGTTGTTCATATTGTTGTAAGTTTGTTTAATACAATTTCATCTTCTCATAGTTCAAGTTTATCTTTGTTTGAAAAGTTGTATGGGTATGTCCCTAATTATTTCTCATTTAAAGTATTTAGTTATACTTATTTTATTCTTCATCCTCATATAAAACATAGTAAGTTATCCTTTTGATCCATTATTTATGTTTTTTTAGGTTATAGCGAAGGTAAAAAAAGGTATCGCTGTTTTGATTCAATAACTCATAAATATTATGTGTCTCATCATGTTGTCTTCCTTGAGCATATATCTTTCTTTTATATTTTATGCACTACTCATAACCTAAATAAATCTAATCTTATTTATAAAAATCCTTTTTTCTAAGGATTTTGGTAATGATACTCCTCCCTATATTCGATCAATTTGTACTAATAACTCTGCAGGTACTGGTACTTTACTCTTTAGCACACCTGAAACTCTATTCTCATTTATAGCCTCTCAAGCTTTAACTAAGATTGTGGATCCATCTCCATGTTAGTCCATCCATATTTGTAAGTCCATAAAGCTACCAAATTATGCTTATTCTTATTAGTCTTCATCATTTACTCTTTTTTTTTAGTTTCTATTCTTTATCTCTTTGAGCTCTCTTCCTATAAAGAGACAATTCTTGATCCGCTTTAGCAGCAAGTTATAGATGAGGAACTTTTTGCTTTGCATAAGATAGAGACTTGGGATCTAGTTTCTCTACTTCTTAGTAAGAGTGTTGTTGGTTGTCGTTAGTATAAAAAATCAAGACTAATTATGATGGGTCTATTAAGCAATACAAAGCTAATGTAGTTACAAAAGAATACTCTTAACAATATGGTATGGACTATGAGGAGACATTTACTCCGATTGAAAAAATGACTACTATTTATACTCTTATTATCACAGTTTTAATTCATCAGTTGTATATTTCTTAACTTGATGTTAAAAATACCTTTTTAAATAGAGATCTTTAAAAAGAAGTTTATATAGCACCCCCTTCTGGTATTTCACATGACTCTGGATATGTTTATAAGCTTAAGAAAGCATTATATGGTCTTAAACAAGCACCTCATGCTTGGTTTGAGAAATTCTCTATTATGATCTCATCTTTTAGCTTTGTTTCTAACAATTATGATTTTGCTCTTTTTATTAAGTGCATTAATGCAAATCGTATTATTCTATCTTTATATGTTGATGACATGATTATTATTGGTGATGACATTGATGGTATTTTAGTTTTAAAGATAGAGTTGACTAGATGATTTGAAATGAAAGATTTGGGTTATCTTTAATATTTTCTAGGTATTGAGGTAGCATACTCACCTAGAAGTTATCTTATTTCTCAATCGAAATATGTTGCAGATATTCTTGAGTATTATTGATAACAAGATTGTAGATACTCCTATTAAGATTAACGCAAGACACTATTCTTCTGATGGTTTACCTTTGATAGATCCTATTTTATATTGTACTATTCTTAGAAGTTTAATATATCTCACAATTACTTGTCCAGATATTATATATGTTATTCATGTTATTAGTCAGTTTATTGTTTCTCCTAATACCATTCACTAGATAGCTGTTATTCGTATTTTGTAATATCTTTGAGGTATAATTTTTTAGAGTCTTTTACTTTCATCCACCTCTTTCTTATAGTTCCATGTATACTCTGATACTGATCATGATAGTGATCTCACATATTGCAAGTCTGTTATTGGGTTTTGTATCTTTTTAGATGATTCTATTATTTCTTAGAACAGTAAGAAACAATCTATTGTTTCTCAATTATCCACCGAAACAGAATATTATTCCATGACATCTACTACCAAAGAGATTATTTAATTACATTGGTTACTTGCTGATATAAGAGTTTGATTTTTTTCATCATTCTCTTTTGTATTGTGGCAACTAGAGTTCTATTCAGATTGCTCACAACTTGATTTTTTTTTAGCAAACTAAGTATATTAAAATCGATTATCATCTTACTCGTCGTCATCTCAAGCACAACATCATTGCTTTGCTTTTTGTTCCTTCTTCTTTGCAGATTGCAAATTTCTGTACCAAGACGCATTCCATCTCTCGTTTTTATTTTTTGGTTGGCAAAATCTTGATGCTTATAGTTTTCGTATCATGAGTTTGAGGAAAGATGTTAAATAATATTTATGCATTCTTATTTATTAATGGTAGAATAGTACTTTTAGTTTAATCCATATATACTTTATTTGTATGTAGGTTAAGATGAAGTACTCATAATATATAGATCATTCAAAATTCTAGCCTTCTTTTTATGTTTGATATGAATTATTTTAACAAGTTTAAGCACTTGACTGAGCTACCATTTTTTGCTCTTTACTCCTCCATGTAACTAAGTTTCCTTACACAAATGTAAAGTACCTTGATGTGAATTTTCTATCTAGAACACTCCCAACTCAATTTGCATCTATATATCCCTTAACATCTAAGTGGTTATTTTTAAAAAAACATTATACCCTTTCCTGACATGGATTTCAACTAGGAAAGTATTCAAATTAGTATGTTCATATGTTATTTGCTTGGATTATGCATAAATTGGCTCACAACACTTATGACATAAGCAATATCAGAGTTAGTGTTGAACAAATAAATAAGTTTTTCTACCAATCTTTGGTGTTATTTTTTATATGTTAGTACTTGATCTATGTGTTATGTGAGCTTATAATTTTGAACTATAAGAGTATTTATTGGTTTGCACTTTAATAGTCCCACCTCAAAAAATAGATCTAACATATACTTTCTTTAGGATAAGAATATACCCTTTTATGACCTTGTCACCTCTATTCCCAAGAAGTATTTAAATCCTCTTAAATTCTTCATCTCAAAGTCAAGCTGATAATTGCTTTTATAGTCTTAAAATATATTTAGTGTCATCCCTAATAATAATCATATCATTTATATAGATGATTAGGGTTTTCACCTTCTTTTCCCAATGCTTCAAGAAGAAAGTATGGTCTGCATTACTTTGAACAAAATCATACCTTCTCATAGCTGAGCTAAATCTCTCAAACCATGCTCGAGGAGATTGTTTTAATCCATATAAGCTCGTTTTAGCTTCCATATAACTCTAGTTCCTGAATATGGTATAAAGCCTAGTGTGATATCCATATAAACCTTTTCTTTAAGGTCACTATAAAGAAAGAAATTCTTTACATCAAGTTGAAGTTGTAGCTAATCTAGGTTTGTTGTAAAAGATAGTAAAACTTTGATAGTATTTAATTTGGCAACTGGTGAGAATGTTTTTATATATTTTATACCATATATCTATGTGAATCTTTTTGTCACCAGTCTTATTTGGTATCAGTCGATTGATATATCCACTTTGTTTTTTTATTGGGTACACTCATTGGCACCCCACTGTTTTCTTCCTTTTAGGCTACGGAATCAATCTCCATGTATTATTTTTCTATTATGTCTATTTAAATTCGGCTAGAGCATAATATCTTGGTGAAGTTTTGAATCGGATCAGATAGATGTTAGGTGCTCATATAATTAACGATGGGGATTTTGAATCAGGTCAAATAGATGTCAGGTGCTCACATAATTAACGATGGGGATTTTGGATCGCCTTTCTTTTATATCAAGGGAGTACCTGTTAGATGGCTTTCCTCTATTATATCTGAAAGGTAACACATGCTCTATAGAAGTATTCAAGTTAAAAGAATATGGATGGATAATGGAAGAGCTTATCTCAGAACTATTCTCAATAGTTCTTTTAGGTATTACAAAGATAGGGGTTGATTAAGTTTATTGATTCAAAAGCTCTCCATTAAACTGATATTTATGTATTCCTCCATCATCATTTTCAAGCTCTCTTAGTTGTCTACTGTTAGCATGTGTGATGTTGTTATTAATGGCATGTGTTAGACCATCATCAACGAGGTTTACAAGGTCTACTGAATTATTAATAGTGTTAATTGTGGCTAGAGTTTCAGTAATACTAGTTGCAATGTTTACTGAATTATTAGTAATGTTAATGGTGGTTGGAGCCGTCATGTACCAATTCAGATCTTCACTTTTAAGCTCTCTCTGAAGAACTGAGGTAGAGACTATAAGAGAATAAAAGTTTTCAAACTCAATAATGGTAACATCCATGGTAATGTATAGTTTCTTGTTAATAGGGTCAAAGCATTTGTAGCCCTTCTTATTTATTCCATAACCTATAAACAAACATTTAACAGCACATGGATTAAGTATGGAATGTTGGTTTTTATAAAAATGAACAAAAAACACATCCAAACACACAAGGTGAAAGTAACAACATGATAGGCAATGCAACATAAGAGGAGAGCACTTGTAGGGGAGTTTTGAAGTACAGGACTTTAGAGGGCATTTTATTAAGTAAGTATACAATAGCATTCACTACATCATCCCAATGATGAGTTGGAAAATCTGTGTAATGAAAAAGAGCACGAATTGTTTCTAGGATGTGGTAATTTTTTTCATTTAACCAAACCATTATATTGTGGAGTTTGAGCACAAGAAGTTCCATGGAGGAGACCTGTTTGGTAAAAGAATGCTTTGAACCAATGTTGATGAACTCCCCTCCATTGTCTGACCGAAGAACTCGTATTTTTGCTGAAAATTGATTCTGAATAATAATGTGAAATCTTGGAATATTAGGAACACCTCCTCCTTTGTCTTCATTAGGTAAACCTAAGTCATTTAGGTGAAGTCGTTGACAAATATAACAAACTAAAGATGGCCAATTGTAGTAGTTTGTGCGGAAGGTCCCTAAACATCGAAAAGTATTAAAGCAAAAGGAATACTACTTTTATTCAAACTAGCATAATAAGATGTTTTGTGGCTAAGAACTAGCATAATAAGATGTTTTGTGGCTCTTAGCCACGATACAAGTTTTATAATTAAATTCAACATCTTTTGATTGTAAGAATAAGTTACAAAATAGGTGTTTTAAATATCTGAATGATGGATGATGCCCAAGGTGAAGATGTCATAACCATATTTCTCATTCTTTATTATTAAGTTGATGGTGTACCACACTTTCATATGCATTTAGAGTTACTTCCCTATAATTTGGTATGTAAAAATACAAGTAAATTTTTTTATATAGTTCTCATATAAAAATCTACTAAATTTTCATCCAAAATTTCAGCAAAGTCTCCTCTATACCGAAAGATCCCAAGTTATCGATATATAACCTGTTTACACTTTTAATATCTCACATCTCATAACTCAATCATGACCCAATCATCTTGGATCTCAATCCCACAAACATTATCATCATCACAACTATAATATTTATAACATACATTGAACAACAAATATAATATAAAAGAATAAAAAAGATAAACATGTATACATGTATACATGAAACATGATTATATGAATTTAGAGTTAAGTTCATCTATTCATGTTTAAATATGAATTATATAAATTAAGTTATATGAATGTCATGTTTAAATATGAATTATATAAATTAAGTTATATGAATGTTTTAATAATTAAAAATATAAGGATATACTCCCTAGAACTAAATAATAAAAAATGAACAAAAGCTAGGATTTACTCTTATTGTGCATGTGCTAATCCTGAAATAAAATACATATAATTGAAACAGAATATTATCGCACATGCACGTGTGGTGTTAATTGTGATTTTTGTTCATTTGTTTGATTGCTTTAAGAGTCGCTACCTAGTATATGGTTCAAGGTTACTAGGAAAATCGGGTGCATTAGTCTTTTCAGAAATTCATGAGTAAGAGACTAGTTGTGACTAAAGAAGATATTAGCATCCTTAACGCACCCTATCTAAGGTAAGCTACTTCACGATTTGATGTGGTTTAAAAATTTTACAAATTATCTTGTTGATGGTTTATAAAACAATTAAAGAAAAATTCTCCTTAATAAGGAGATCCTTATCTTATCAGTTAAAAACAACTTTATTTTCTTTATTTTAATCAGGAATATACCTTCTATATAAGATCATAATCCTTGATGATGTGTAAATCAAAACATTAAATTTCATATATATATATATATATATATATATTATCTTTTTTGGTTTTAACATTTAAAAGAAAATATACATAAAAAACAAGCACAAGCGCATAGGCGCACCAACATTCTATTTTTACTATGTTTCACATACACCCACAATTACATGTTTACAAAATAACCATAAGTCAAACAACACATTATATAAATAAAAAATTACAAAATAACCCCTAAAAAAATTCTAAGAACTGCTAGGAAGCCTTTTGAGCCACTAGAACAGTGGCAAAGCGTCACCTCCATGTGCGACCACCATTACTGGCATGGAAGTTCATGCGTTGCAGCAAAAATCCAAACAATGGAAAGAAATAATGATGAAAGGGGGAGATCTAGTTTGGTCGGCTAAGAGAGGAGAAGGGAGATGGCAAGGGAAGAGATGAGAGGGGAAAAATAAAGGGGAGCTACTGGCTGACTTCTGGTTTTTCTTTTCCACAGATTAGGCGTGATGGCCTAGGAGAAGAAGGAAAGGTAAGGTTTTTAGGGTTTTTTTACCTTTGTCTCCCTTTATTTCAATCCAATTTTGTTTTTTTTTTTTTTTTCCAAATGCATAGTTAAACATTTGTATTTTATTTTTTTGAAAACGAGCAATATCTATGTTGCCTCGATGAGGAAAGTCAACAATTTAAAAAATGATGTATTAAAAGTTAAACTTGTTAAAAATACCTTTTAAAATTTAAATTCTTTTAAGACGAAGCTGAAAATGCTAAAAACAATGCAAATATATCAAAAACATTTTATTTTTAGTTTTCCTTGTTTTTGTGGTTTTTTGAATTTTCAAAAACCTTATGAAAAAAAAGGTAAAAAATTAGATAGCACTAAATATCACAATAAGTATAGTAGCATAAATATTCAATAATTTAAAAAGACAAACATGTATTTATATTCTATTCATTTCTCCCTTTTTGTTTCCATTAAAACTCTATCTCATTTAACTACTAAAATTGTTTCATCTTTCATTTTTAACTTTTATTTAAGATTTCATAAGATTAACCACAATTATTTCCACCTAACTCATTGCTTATACCAATTTCACCAGTATTGTTATCACCTCGTAAGCATCGATGCATAGTGATTCCCTTACTCGAGACCTTAAAATACATTAAATATATATTAGGCAATACATGATAATCCCTTTATCTCGTGTCTTAATATACACTAAATGTATACTAGTCTTTGTCATATATCGCACTTCTAATATATTTTTTTTATATATCAACAATGCTTCCATTACTTGGAAATTCACACGAAAGACCATTCACCGTGAATATATATATATTCGGGATACTATTTGAAATAACAACATTATGTAAACTTTTATTCATTCTTATAATATCCAATATTTATTAATTCATATTTCATATAAATAACATATTAAATCATAAAATTTAACTGAAAAGCATAGACATAAATCACCTACATATAGTAAAAGCTGTACTCGTGCTTCTCCACTGTTGCACCTACACCATGCCTATAATCCCTCTTGAATTCACAAGCATATCTTATAAGTTATTTTTATTTAAGGATATACTTCATAATAATCATGTTAATACTAATATAAAAAATAATTAGTTGTTGCTCATTCTAGTGTTGAAACTGAATATCATATTATAGCCTCCATTACTTTTAAATTTATATGGATGAAAGTATTGCCTGATGATTTAGGTGTATTTCACCCTTAACCTATATCTCTTTGTTATACTAATCAAGCCATAATGCATATTATTTTTAATCCAATATATTTTGACTCAACATTCTAGAAGTCAGGATTAACTCGTGAACTTATTCACCAAAAGCTTGTCCTGTACTCGATTTCAATTGCTACTTTCCTAGCTTGGATCAATCAATCTTCTTGATTAGCTTGAGGGGAAATATTGACCGATAAATCTAATATGATGTGTTACCACCAATATGATATGATTCTTCTTACCTTGATGAGTTGATTACTTACAGATTCGTAGGCTTTATCTAAGGAGAAATATCAGTAACATAGCTAGAATTACTTTTATAATAAATGTAATGTGTGTAAATAAATGTGCTAGAATATAATTCAGTGGATATGAAATAAACGATAATATTTCTCTTTTATTCCTTCTGCTTCTCCTTTTCTACAACCTCGAATTCACTGCGGTGATGAATTTGTTTCTCCTAATGAAAGATCTCTCTTGTTGAAAGACCAACGAACAACTCAGTTATCAGCAAATAAAGAACCCCTGAAGCATAAATACACAGCGACTGCTCACCAAACACTCAGTTTGATTTCTTGGTCTACTTGTGAGGCTTGATACGAGGGTAGAGTCCCAAGATATGCTCTGGCATGAAGTCATGTCGAGTCAAAATCCCAACAATTGGAGGTCTCTGCAATAAGTTAATAAGAAAAACCACTAGCTCATTACCCAACTTTTTACAGATATTTTATATGCAGAAGCTTTTACACTGCCTTTTGCCTTTTAAAGAAAACAATTGCTGCCCAAACACTACAGCTCAAACAAAGAAGGAGGCTATTGAGAAAGATTGTGTGTCTTACCCCTTGACTTGTTGGCACTACACACATGTGCCTGAGACCAATTTGTCGAAAGAGAATTGCAGCTTTGGCAAGTGACATTGTCTCAACCACGGTGTGCGGGGAAGCATTGCTAATTGGATGAAGATCTACATACATATCCATCTCTTCCTCTTCAATAGCCAGATCCTCTAACTTGACACCCTTCCCAGATCCTGCTTTAGAAAAATCAAATACTGCAAATCTATGCAAGATCTCTTGACCAGCAGGTATCCTTTCCCTTGAAAAATTCTTGCCTTTCAGCAAAACAAGCAAATGTGACCTCAAGACAAGGCCGCACAGTTCTGGTGCATCTGAGGAAGGTGGTTCATCGATCACTGGAAACCCATTATGTCCAGTTGTCCTCAAAGCATGCAGT